CCGGCGTTGCTCGTGTCCCTCCCGCACCGCTGCCGTGCGCGCCGGAGACGGTTCCCCTGGCGATCCTGTGTGAGGCTGTGACCGCACTAGAAGTGCCGGGCCGGCCATTGCCAGTTATTTTCACACCAATTTCGGAACTTCCGTTTCTAATTTCCTCCCAACTCGACTACTCTTCCAACCGCTCCACGGCGTGCAGTGAGGCGCGGTGATCCAGATAGGATCCCCCTCCGCATGGCATCGTCCCATGACGACTCATGAACGGCACGAGAGGAATCTTCGTCTGGTTCCTCCAATATGTCTTTGTTCACTCATGTGGTCCACTCGTCAAATAATCCTGTCGCCCCGATAATTCGGGGTGGTGGCGGGATTTTAACTGGGGCCCAGGTGATGCCGTTTGGCTCACCTCTGAGTTGACACCGGCATTTTTGGTTGGTCCCTTTCGTCGTGAACTCAACTGTCTCGCATCCTTTCTCTCGTCCTGATATCGGATGAGGGGGGTGTGTTTTGTTCACGTGTTGTTTCATCATGTGGCAAAGCGGCCGAATGGCCGTTTGGCTCAAGTTTAACCTCCCGTCAGGTTAGTTTTGGTAGCACGGCACTCGCCATAGCACGGCATCTCGCTGCGTCGCCGAGAAAGGACTCTCGGCGCTGGGGTGGGCTGGTGCTAGGAGGTAGGTGGTGCTGCGGCAGGACTTGCCTGGGCCTGGTTAAGGTGATCTTTTGCAACTTGCTGTTTAACCTTCACTTCAACCACCTCTTCTTCAATCATCACGTCCTTCAACCTGGTCACCGGCTTCAGTCCACTGAGTCGTGAGTCCGGGTTCTTTGGGTTCTTCGTGGATTACGTGAACCCTTTTGATTCCCTGGGCAACGCCCTTTCCGCCCAAAACCGCAGAGCCGATTGATGCTTGGCCCTTCTATTCAAGCCAGTCCCGGCCTATGACCTCCCAATTTGTCTTTTTCCAGAGATTCATTGGAAGGTGTGCATGGCTTTTTGTGACTGCTTGGCCGCTGTGATTCCATTTCCAGGACTCGTTCAGCCTGCAAATGGGACCCTTTTTGCATCGGAGAAAGGCAGAAAACGGAAGACAGAAGACTTCCTTTTTAACGATCATTGGTTGCCTCAGATTGCCAGCTTGGCCGGCTTGACTTGCCTTGTCGGGTGTCGGGTCAGGTGAGCCTGCGGACCACTGTCCCGTTGCCGCTTGAGAAGGGTCCGTACATTTTTGTGTGTCACCCGCATGGCATCTGGGCTGCATACCTTTGATTGGCCCTCCTTGCAGCTAACCTGTTTGTGAACTGGCCAACTGAATATTATTGTTTTAGTACAGGCACTGTGCATGCCAGAGCTTTTGCCAGGGGTTTGCAGCGCACCAATGAGGCAGTATCGTTGGAATGAACAAACAGAGCAATACTAGCAGTCAATTTGATGACCCGTGTTTTTGGCATTGAGGAGCACAATGACCTAACAAAAGTTTGACAAGGAGTCAAGCTATAGAGTGTTTGCCAATTCGACGAACCCTTTCCGGACCCCGGTCCGGTTGGTTTCTGGCGCCGGCTTTTAACCTGTGACCCGCAGGTATCATCGGTGTGTCCCCAATGACCAGCTTTGGCACCGATGCCACTGGAACCTCGGCGCAGAATTTGTGGTCCGTAGCCATGCCTCTGCGATGCCTGCTGCTTTTGGGGATTTGGGTCATGCGCGGAAGTCTTCCCGAGCCAATTTGGTGTTCGGCGTTGTCTTCGTGCCAGGCTTCCAGGCAGCCTTTCCGGGGATCCCCGTCCACCTCCTGGGGCACAACGCCATCTTCCGCATCCCCTTCTTTCGGGCACCTTCGGCTGCAGGGTGCATGTCTCTGCAGGCCTTTGGAGATAACCCAAGCGATTTGCAGACGTGTTGCTCCTGACCTTGGCTTTGAAACGAGCCCTACCCTGCTCAATAATGTTGGACTCCCCCCCCCTTAACAGTGGAACCAGTCAGCTGGACCCTCTTTAGGGACAGTCCTGGGGTCTGGGAGGGGACAGTACTTACTTTGGTATTGCCCATTCTACTTTAGTATTGCCAAGGCTGACTCTCAGATTCCCAGTGCTTACGTTAGTATTGCCAATTCTACTTGAGTATTTCCAAGGACCGTTTTTTGTTTCCCTCATCAACCCCAAAAAGGTTTGACACCAAAGAGGATTCCAAAACAGTCACATTAAGGAGTATCAGGGCCCCTTGTGGGCAATCCCTTTGTGTGACTGTTTGCCCGTACTTTTTTGTAAGCAAGTTATCTTGATTTTGATGGTTTGGGGAGCACTTCAAGACACATCCTAATGTTTGCCCGCTTTCTCTGCCCGACTTCTTTGTCAAGTTTGTTTGGCCCGTATTTTTTTTCGGAGGCTTCGTCTAGCCTGGGCCAGACAAGATCAGGAGAGTAAACGCACAAACTGTGTTTTTGCTTTTTTGGGAACAAATTGCCACAATCGAGGACCCCAAAACAGTCACAAGATCCTGAATTGCAAAAATCATTTGCTACAACACAGGGTACTATTAACAAAGGAGGGGTATCATTTTTGGACGCTGCGACCTGCACTATTTGCACCTCGCGGCTCTTTGCCACGCGCATCAGTGCAGACCTTGTTCGAATCAAAGTGACTTGTGCTGTGTTCAGGGACCTCCTGTTGAAGTGTGGGCCCCAAGTGCTGTCATCCAGACCTGAGCAAGAACCAAGCTCACCCGTTCCAAGCTGTTCCCAACACAGGCAAAGGTTGCCAAAGTCTCGGGTTCATTCCTTCGAGCTGCGTCTGACCCGGGTCCGTGCCGGTGAGGAGTGGTGCCTGATGCACGGTCATGGCGCTGTGAGCCGCGAGACCTGCTTGTACCTTCTGCGCGAGGGGCGTTCCATCGCGTTGGCACCGGGAGGCGCCAGGGTCAGTGTGCTTGGCGTGCTGCGTGCACAAGTTCCAACAAATGCTGACCAAGTTCCTGAGTAAAGCATCTATATAAAGAGACATCGAGTTCGTACGGCATTCGGAGGCACCTTTCCCTGAAAATGATTGAGCATGCCCTTGCATCACTGAACCAACGACCTGAGGCCATGATTCCTCAAACCGGGAGATGCAGTGGTTGTGCTTCAGAGTGTTAGCCACTTTGCAGTCCTTTCGTGTTGCACTTGAGGATTCGGGGAACAAACAAGGATGATGTTAAAGGCACGTCGTAGGTCCGTAGGTGGGCATAGCGGGTGCAAGGCGCCAAGGAGAGCCTGGAGTGCGTGCCGGGGACCATGCGGCTGGTGCTGCAGAGCCGGAAAGGCTTTGCCAAGCTGGCCCTCCGTAGCTTGACACGCGACATAATTGTTGCTGTTCCCTGGTAAGATTCGGTCTTGGACCTTTGCCTTCAGCCTTATAGTGACCCCGGGGTGCAATCATGCCACATGCCGGACATGTCCAGGCGACTTGTTTTGGCTCATTGCCCGTGAGGAACGGGCGCTGCGTTGGTGCCGGTGCTTGGCTTCGGCGAGCAGCTTCGGCAAAGTGGGCTTGACTCGTTTTGGCACAAGCTCGCGTTAGCGCGGTTAAGGGATCACAAGGGAGCTGAAGCACTCGCTGTTTGATCGCAGATCGGATGGCACTAGTGCATAATAGTTTGGCCTTTCCAGGAGAGGATGCCGCCAAAGGTTGCCAACATCGGTTGTCATGGATAGTGCGTCCAGCAAGAGTCTTCCTTTGCTGCAAACTTTCCCTTCACCGTTAGGAACGACCTGTACTCCACCGTGCAATTTCCGAAGGATAGCCTGCGGAGGAGGATCCAAGAAGGGCTTCAACGGCGCGGCCTGGCATTGACAAAGCTGAGCACGTGAGATGGTTCTCTTCTTGGCTGGGAAGTTGTTGCACGCCCGCCGTGCACCTGACACAGGATCTTCTGACATGACATCGCCTCATTTAGCATTTTTTCCCTCGCGCACCTTTGTCCAATTGTCCAGAACTTTGGGGGCCACCACCGGATCTTGCCACAATCATTTTGGTTGCCCAGGTATGGGTTTTGCCCTGCCCTGTTTCTGCGGGCTCGCCTACCTTCCGCTGATGCCGAAGCGCCACAAAGTCACGACACTGGTGGGAGCGCCCCTGCGACCGGCAGAGTCCTGCGCAGAGCCAGCAGATGAGTATCTAGGTCACGAAACGCGTGGGAAGTATCAGCAGAACCATCGGATTTGCCAGGGCTGTCCCTTGCGCTTGGGATTGACTTGTTCTATTGAACCAGCCGCAACTGGGTGCCCTTTGGAATTGCGCAGCGCACAGTTTGGTATGGAAAGTGACTTCCCAAGCAACAGATAGTTGCACACCATACATATGCATAAGGCCCCAGCCCTTGGTTCAAGAGGCAGAAACATGCGACTCTCGCCGTGAGGCAAGTTGACAAGTTCCACAAGGAGTATTGCGAAGCGCTGGAAGCGCTCTTTGATAAGCACAAGGCTGAGTATGGCATGGCAGATGTCCAGCTGGACCTCATTTGACCCGGTTCTGGCGTGCCAAACTCTTCTCATGCGCGATTGGTGCGTGAAGAAAAGCTGCAGCTTGCATTGCTTTGGCCGCGCACTTTGGAGTTTAATGAGTGAGCAAGGTGAGCAATGGCAATGTGTTTGGTCCTTTCGGACCTCTGCCAGGGCAGCATCGCACCAAAGATGCTAAGCCGCTAAGACGCTGGCTTTTGAGGCGGTTGCGTGGAAGGTTTTGGACAGTTTACAATGGCAATGCCCAGGAGAATGAAGCAACTGGTGTTGGCAAAAGGGTGGGTGATGGCCCTAGACTGGCAATCCAACCAGAGGGGGCGTGGTAGGATTCAAAGCACGGTTAGGAGGATTCTTGGCCAAACCTTCAGGGCCCCTTCAACAGTACAGCATTGGAATCAAGATGCCTCAGGCAGTATCCCAACTTGAGCTCAATGCTGTTTGTCATCATGGAAACAGACATCGAGCCAAATCTTTCCCGGAGCAACTTGCTTTCGCTGAAACTTCGAGGAGCGGCCGAGCTTTGTGACGGCGGCCTTGAGCTGGGGCCGGCCTCCCCGGCCTCCGGCGTCGGCGGCCCGGAGCTCAGGTGAGGCAGGGCTTTTTGACCGCCACCTGCCAATAGCTGTGGACAATGATTTGGTTGCTTTGGTGGCTTGGGCATCCAGAGTTTGTTTGCCCTTTCCAGCATTTCTGCCCTCGAGTCTCTGGAGGCACCCGTTACTACCCCAGTGATGCGTGGATGCGAGTCTGAATCTGTCCGAGCTCAACTGAGCAACCGAACCTGCGGCCGCGCATAGTCCCAAACATGTTGCTTGTCCAAGGTAGTGTTCGGGCTTGCCTGTATGGCGCGGTGCCTTAGCCGAGAAAGTCGGGGCAAGCTTTTGCTGAGATTCTTTCTGACAACGCCTGCAGTGGTTTGCAAGTGTCTGCAGGCAGGGCAAAATTGAAACTCGCTTTCCGCAGGACATCGCTCAGCAGCTGGAGTCGTACCCGGCAGCAGATGCCAAGGCCCTTCGGCGTTTCGAAGGGTGGGGAGATGAACACGTGCGACTTTCTTGCCGATGGCGCTGCTTTTTGTGTTCTCCAGGTGTTGGCTTTCAAAATTATGGATTTAAGGAGGGCCCCGTGTACTTAAGGGTGGGGCTGTTTTCAGGGCTGCTGAAACCCTATGGTTTTCAAAATTGTGTGTTTTCGCGGCTGAACAGCCCGAAAAGGCGTTTGTTTGGGAACAATGCAAAAGACGGACTTGATGGCATCATCTCGTTGGAGAATTGGTATAAACTGTGAGTGATTTCGCACACACCTAATGAAATGACTTTGGTTTGGGGTTTTCTGATGCGGACCACGCATGGGGCAGAATTAGCATGCTGTGAATTGTTCCGCGCGCACCTGATAAAACAGCCTTGGCTTTGGATTTTCTGACTCAGATCACACATGTACCTGTGATTGATTTCGTGTTGGCCTGACGGTCTGACAATCCTGAACGCGTGGATTGGTAGATGCCAATGGAGTTGCTGGTGGGCGTATTAGAAAGGGCCGCATGACGTTGGCAAACAGGTGTTTTGTGTTATTTGTTGGCGTGTGGTTGCGACAGCCGATTGACTGATTGATGTGCTGGGTGGCACATGCAGGATACCAGGTGTTTGCAATGTCTGGTTCAGACCAGACAATTTCAGCGATGTGCTTTTCAAGACCAGGAGTCAGCTTTCCGTAAACTTCGGTGTCATCACATTTGCTGTGTGAACAGCCACCCCCTGGATACAGTAGTTGAAATACACAGGACGCAGCTTTTCACTCGAAGTCCTGCCCACGGTAGTCCAGCCTCTCTCCGGCCCAGCCAAGAAATCCTTGAGCGCAGCCACTCTTAGACAATAAGCCAAGTCTTTGAGGACCCCCTCAAGCGCCAACGCAACGCCTTAGGTGCAGCCACAATTCCTTCTGTGCAGCCAAATTCCTGAACTGCAGCCAAAATGCCTTGAGTGCAGTGCAGCCCAAATTCCTTGAGTGCAGCAAAAATTCTTCAACACTTAAGTACAAAATTCCATAAAGTGCGGCCAAAATTTCGACAGTGCAGGCAAAATTCCCTAAGCGCAGGCAAAATTCCTTAAGTGCAGGGTTAATTGGCTTAAACTCAGGGTTGCGCTTAAGGATTGTGGCCGCCGCCCGAAATGAAAATGGGGTTGAATTTAGTTGCATTTTTCAGCTTGAAAACCACTAAGTTCACCCCCTATTTTAAGGACAAAAGAAATTGTGGCTGCACCTGGGGAATTTTGGAACTTTGGCTGCGCCTAAGGAGTTGCCTTGAGTTTACCCCCTTGAATTTAAGCTAATCAACCCTGCACTTAAGGGATTTGCGATCCCTCAAGTCTCCCCCCCCCCCCCCCAAATTTAAGCTATTTAACCATGCGCCTCAGGAAATGTTGACCGCCGCCAATTTCAGTAATCAACTATTCTTGAAATTTTGTTCATTAGCGTACATTCAGGGGGGGGGGACTTAGGGAATTTTAGCAGTGCCTAATCAATGTTGTTTTTTGAGGAGGGGTTGGCGTTGGCTCAGGCGACCCGGCCATGGCCGGGGAATTGGGTATGATGGGTTTGGTGTGGCCACTTTCATAGACTTCGTGTGTGTGGGGGGGGAGGGGTTTCCTGGAACAGATTGAGAAGGCTGAGCTTTGGCCTAGCTCGTAGCATCCAGCAGTGATTTGATTTGACGACGTCGTTCGCGCCCAGTGTTGCACGTTCTATTTGGTAGCCGGGTTTCGCATTGTTTACATGAGAGCCCAAAAACGAAAATAAACATTCGATCGTGTCCCGGTTCTGACACGGGCTCCGACCAGAGGTGCAGACACAGGAATCTCCAGGTTGGGCTCCAATCAGCCAAGATGCAGATCAAACAGTCTGGCGTTGATTGGGGGGTAAAAAAATATGAAACGCACCTGGAAAGGAAGTGGCCCAGACTTGAGTCTGCCGACCAAGACCCAGGCTCCAAAATGCACAAGGAACTGGAACAACAAGGAAGAACTTCCGCTTGCGGCTTTGACAAAACATGCTTGCATGTAAAGCTGGGCACTTTCTGAGGCTGCAGGTTCCACCTCCTCCAAAATCGCATGCTGCCACCCAACACTGCGAGCACTGTGTGCCCAGGTGCGAGCAGCTCAAACCTCCTGGCTTGGAGGTGGCAACGCGGCCAACACCGCGTCGGCCTTGGCGCGACTGGGGGCAAGCACGCGGCTCATCTCAAAGGCTGGCCCGCGCGCAGAGGGGAGCATTGGGCTGGACTTGCCACCCTGGGGGCGAGTCAAGGAACAAGAGGAAGCATGGAAGGAACAACCTGCAAGCATCACTCTTGTCACTGCCATGCCTCACCCTTCACGCCTCCAAACTTGAGCTTCCAAGCCGCGCCGGCGCATCCGAGCCACTCCCAACGCTTCCGACGCTTCCCCGGGCTCGCCAGGTGGGCAGCGACGCCCTGGGCGGCGCCATCCGCCAGGGTCTGGAGACGCAGGGCGTGGAGGCGCTGCTGGCCAGCGGAACCAGGCCCTCGAGTCGGGAGAAGAGCGGGCTCTAACACAGCGCAGCGTTTTGTCTTCATGGGTGTTGTGGTTTTTGTTTGGCCTGGACATATGATTTCTGGCTTCTTGACATTTCTTGACTCATGATGCACTTGCTCCTGAAAGATTCGACCTGCAAGGTCGGCATTCAGCACTGTGCTGGTAGACGCAGAGACGGGCACCAGGACGGGTTTGGATCCCTTGTCTTTGCCAGTGAAATATGGTGTTGCAGGACGGAACGATTTGCTTGGTCCCTTGTGCATTTGACACGCCTTTGCCTTGTCTAGTCTAGCAATCTAACTATTTGCCTCACGGGTGTTGCCGTAAATGTCCGGCATATGTCTGGCATTAACCTGACGCATCCACAACACAGCGCAACACAGCATACACCACAAGACACAACCCAAGCTACACAACCCCCACACAAGCACCCTTCTGGCACGCAGCAGTCAGTGCGTGTCATTGTTCAGAAGCTGGAGGATATTTCCATGTTGTAAGCATTCTAAGCAACGTGGACCAAGACACCAAAGAATCGACCCTACAGACTTGGAGAAGGCAAACCCTTTTGGGTCCCCAGGTTCCGTGGCATCATTTTTGTGAGGACCTGCATCAACTCGCCAGCAGAGGATATGACGGCAGAGGAGCTGTGGGCTTCTTAGTCAGTGACGCAATGGGTCGTTGCGCAAGCTGGGCTTGTAGATGTTGGGGTTTCGGCCCTCCCCTTTCCTGGAATCTCGTAAAGTGAGTACTTGCTGACTCTTCGATTCAGCTTAGCGCGCATTTCAGAGCCAGGTGAAGTTGGCAAGTGGGCTAGTTCAATCTAACTAATCCTCAGACTCAAGCATCCTGAGCGTTTGATGCGCCATACGCACACTTCATTGCCGTTGCCAGGCAGCAGCTACTTGGCGAGGCACGAGAAGAGAGCCTTCTGCCAGGTGGTCGTGAATCCTGAAGTCTCGAGTTTAGGGATTGAGAGTTTTGGGCTTCAGGGTATTTTGATTTTAGGCTTTAGGTTTAGTCCTGGCTTCAGGTTTCAGTTTAGGGCTTGGGATTGCCCGTAGTGGTGTCCTACCGGATTCGGCAGAGTTTAGCAGCAACGCGGATCGACTCCCTACACTCCCTTCATAGTGGGCTGTAGGGAGTTGGGTTTAGGAAGTTAAGAGTGTAGGCCCCTAAATCAGCGGTCAGCAGTCCGATCAGAGTGTTGCGCTCGCTGCCATATAGCCTGCAAGCGGACGCCTTGACATTTCCATTTGGTACCTTACGTTTTTTAGGATTTGTTTGCAGGTTTTTACCATTGGGTTTAGGGGTTTAGGGCTTTGAGAGTCGGGGATCGATGCCCATTCCTATCGCCATAGCTGCTCGCCGGCTCCGATGCAGCGGCTGCGAAGGATGGAGGCCGTCCCTTGTGAGGCGATTGCTGTCCACCGGCACTGTGGAGGGTATCACGTACAGCCTGGACCCCATGCGCTACAAAGTGTACGCCCTCTACGAGACGCAGGCGGCTAAGACGATCACGGAGGGCTTGTTCGAGAGGAAGGCCTCGCCCCACCACGGGCACGGCCTCTTTGCCAAAGTGGGCATCCCAACCAGTGTCGTGATTGGCAGGGCTGGTGACGTTTGCCGACACCCTGTGAGGGGGACAAGCATTGAAGGCCTTATTGAGGATATCAACGACCTCGTGTACACGCACGCCATGCGAGACCTGCCACTAGACCCCGCTGCATTTTCGCACGCGGACTACCAGCGCTTCCTGGGGAGATACCTCGATTTTGCAGCTGTGGACCGCATCACAAACATCTTCGGGGTGCTTGATCGAGATCAGATCCTGTTGGAGACGAGGCGCCCCATCGAAGCTGGGGAGGAGCTTTCCAAGTACTACCACGTGCACTATTGGCTAAGCCACCACCTGAATAGCCTCATGGATGCCGGAAGTCGGGACATCTACGACGTCAACCACCCACTCATATCCACGATCCTGAGCCTGAAGCATCCTGCGGCCGTTGCCTTCTTCCGCAATGTAAGGTCGTACTATGACATTTGGGACTAGCTACAGCACTCCACTTCCATGCCAGTGAAGCAGGAAGGTCACAGCCTGGCGCTCACGACGGCTAGTTTCAAGGGGCTTGAGGAGTTGTTTCGTCTGCAAAGGGCTACAAAGCGCAAGCCTGAAGAACCAAAGGACTTGAAACCCTGAAGGCGCACCCCTAACAAGCACTATCCTGAACCCCGCCCCCTCCCCCCCACAGGCCTGTACAGTGTGACAGGAGGCATTTTGATGGAATGTCAAGTTTAGGCCTTATTGATGCCCTGCAAAAGCGGCACAGACGCTTCATGCAAAAGCAATTGCCCACTTGACCTTGAAGGGACTGCCAGCAGCAGCAGCAGCAGCAGCTCTACGGCACCTTTTTTGAGCCGATTGTTCTCAGATATCCTCAACAGCCGTTTGAACCAACAGCATGTTAGCTCCAGTGGGACCTGTACATTCTTGATTCTTTTGCCCTTAGCTGTTGGAATGGGTGGGCGATCTGGGTGGGCGATCTTTGGAATGAAAGGTGCGTAGAGGTGTGCCCAGGCAGTTTTACGCCAGTGCCTCCCCACCAAAGCCAAGCAAGAAAGCGCAGTGGATGGAACGCGGCAAGTGCCAGAGAAGCCGAACACTGACAGCGAAGCATGGGCCTGTGCAGGTTCCCCTTGGGTGCGCACCCCAGTCGCCAACAGTTTCTTGCTCGGGCGTGGAAGCATGGCTCGCAGCTTGGGATGCACAAGGCCACATTCGTGTGAGCAATCACTTGCTTTCCACCCAAGCAAAAAAAAAAACACAGAGCAACCGTGCCGGGCAGAATTTGAGCTCCCGGCCATGCCCACCAAGCCAGAATCTTTCCCTGCGCATTTTCCTCCTGCTCGCGTTTGGCTCAGTCGAGTGGCAGGAGAGCGATTGGCGATTGGGCAAAATATACTTCCCACCATTGCGCACCCAGAGGTACTACTGGCAGGCGAGCCGCCAGTTGCCCCGGCATAGGGCAGCCAGGGGTTTCACTTCTGTATTGCTCTGTAATCCCATCCGTTCCCACCGTTTTTGCACCAACACAAGCAATTTGAAACGGGCCAGCCAGAGCCATTTCCCCTACAAAACAGCAACTCGCTCTGCCTGCGTGGCCTTCAGCCATAGGCAGGGGGCGATCGGTGCAAGTGTCTCACTGGGAGCAATTCCATTGGCCCATATTGGCCCCTTTGGCGCGGGATATGCCACAGGATTTCATCAATATTTCGTTGGAACGAACCATACCCTCACAATAGTTGAGAGAGGCATACGTGAGTTGCATACTCTATTATCCCCAGGCCAGCTTCCAGCCTTGACCAGTGCTTTGGGCGCAGCGATGGCAGCTGCATGTGGATTGTTTCAAATTAGCAAAGTCGCATAAGAGGCAAGGGTGCTCAAGGTCTCTCGTCGCTTTGAAGTTGGAAGGGTGTCTCGACGTAGGAATTCTGATCGGGTCAAGCAGCGCAGGTGGGCACAGCCAGGCTGAAGCGAAGCGAGATGCCGTTGCCTCCCTCAAAGGGCATAGGCAATTGCCGGGGAGCTCGGCATGTGTGCAGGCCAGTTGGGTGATGGTTCGATGGGTTCCTCATGTTTGTTCCCTCCGAATCGACAACAGAGAATTTGCTAGTTGTGTCTTTCAAGCTGCCAAGAAAAAGTCTTGGTATGCAACTCAGCTCAGCTTTGGTGTAACTCGCGGATGATCCATTCCCCTCCCAGGCTGCTCGGTGGGCGATGAGGACCCGCTGCGCAGCAAGATGCGCCTGGAGCTGGCCTCTGCGAACCGGGAGCAGCAGCCGCCTGGTGAAAAATGGGATCCTTTGCTCAGGGTCTTAGGGTTGCCTGGAAGTGCTTCATCCTTCCTCTTTCTGAACATTGGGGAGCGACTACCAGGCGGAAGTATGTGGAAAGACCCTTCTGCTTTTGGATGCTTCCAGCAGTGTTGCGCTGTGCTCGCACCTTGGGCAATTGATTCTGGTTTCTGACTCAATTTGGAACGACGCAAATGAAGCAGGTTCGGTGGCTGTGAATTGTCATCTTCCATGAGCAACCAGTGGAGACGCTGAGGCAATTCATGCAGGACAGGCTGCCGGGTTGGCCCTCAGCCGCTACGTTTTGATTGTGCTAGGGCATGCTGGGGCAAGCCGCGGCTAGCTCCGACCCGCCTTCAACTACTTATAACTACTTTGGAAGTCAGCAAGGGTTGGAGGAGGGACCAAGCAAAGGACATTGTGTTTGGGGCTAGCGGTGAGGGCTGGGAGTGGTAAGGCTGGCTGACCATGCAGGAATTGATTTCTGCGCAGAACATCAAGATGCAGAAGCAGATTCAGGCCTGGGATGAAGGTGCAGGAGTCAATGGGTGATCCCCCATCTCAGCAGTAGCGGGATGTTGTGGGTGTATACTTGCTGCAACGATTTGTGGGCATGTTGTGCGTTTGCGAGTGCAAGGTAGGTTTGGACTACATTATTCCAGCCCCAGCCGCCAATGTGTTCTATGAACTCATGTTATATTTCCTCGGCTTCGGGCCTAGGCACCCATGTTCTGGATTCTCCTTGTACTCGTGACCCACGGCCATTCAGCCTTGTGTGTCAGAACCTCTCGGACCTGGTCCAAGAGTACATCACAGAAGCTCTTTGTCTGCATTTGAAAGGCGGAGTTCGCGAGGCAAGAGGGCACTTTTGGCCATAGGTTTTTCGGAGGCTGGGGCAGGCAGGCAGGAGGCCCCCTCTGCTTTTGGGGCCGTGTGAGGTGCGGGGTGCTGGCATGGGTGCCTTCAGCAAGGAGGCGTCGAGGATGGCGAGCGTACTTCCCCCGAAGGCAGGCCATGTCGAGCTTGCGTTTTGCGTGGTCGTTTGAGCCGCCGCTTTCGTAGCTCGCTGCTTTCTCAGGACCAGCCGACCGATTCCACCTTGCAGCCGATGAACTCGGCAGTGCGGAGCCCGAGTTTGGGGAGGGACGTGGGGCGTGGGGTTTAACGCAACAAGCAACACGGGGTGTTTAGTTGGGCCGCCCCTTGAGTTCCCGGCCCTGACAAGTCTCTTGTTTGTTCAGGGTGTTAATCAAGTCTATGCTTTCTTCGCGAGGCACGCCATCCAGCCAGACCCAAACTGGCTTTTTAAGCAGACAGGGGCATCTCACCTCATCTCACCTCAGCTTGCAACATACCCCCGCCCCATACCCCCCTCGTCTTCCCGACCTCTTTGGCTGTCCTGTGTGGCGCTCAGGACTTCGCCATGCACGGCCGCATGTTTGGGCCTCGGGAGGGGGCTGCAGACGGGGCAGCTTGTGGAATGCACCGTTCGTTTGGCCGTGACAGGTTGATGGGACCTGGGAGGAATAGTCGTATCTTCAGACATATTCAGAGCCTCCCCGCTTCTTGAGGCTGATTGCTGACAGGTTGTCTTTGCGAACCTCAGGCAATCATACAACTGCCTCAAACTTCCACCAGCCACTTCTTGATCATCATTGGCGGTGATTTTCGCATTGTGAACTTTCTGTAGTCTGGGCGTGAAACGAGGATCGTTCGCTTCATGGCGTGAAATGTGGTCGGGAGCTCTCCAAGCTTGGAGGTCTATGATGCCAAAGCTGGACTTCAATGACAGCCATCACTTGTCACGGATGGAGAAGGCAAGATTTCCGAAAAATCGGCCCCCAAACCGGCACAGCCCCTTTTTGATTGATTGGACATTTTGAATGAGAATGCTTCCGGGAACCATGCCAGGGAAACCAAAGAACGCAGTCCAGGCTGTGCCCTAGCGCGAGGCCAGCGACCGGAACCCCTTCCGCACCTTCCGAAACAAGAAGAAGGGCTTGAAGCAGATGGACTTAGCTGCGGCCTCAGTGTCAGGCAGTCGGGCTCGCTGAAAGGAACACGCGCATGAATGCGCCGGACATCCTTGAGCGTAAGTAATGTTCGAATGGCGTGCCCCAAGCCTGGCCTGTCTTCTAGATTGTCCTGCGGAGGAAGTTCTGTTTTGGGCATCCCAGCTTCCTTCTGCCGGGCAAAGTGCATTTAGAAACGTACTAGTCCTGACACGCAAATTGCCAAATCTTGCCCACCAGTTTTGGCCGGTTCTAACCTTTCTGACGCTATTGACCTGACAGCTTTCAGCTGTCACCTGTCAAAGTCCTTCCTTTGTGAGCAAAAAGCCCAGTATTTATCTTGTCTGGCGTCTGGCCCTTGTCAGAGTGATGCCTGATGCTCGAAAATCTCTCCAAGAGGGTTGTGTTGCCAATCCTTTTTCACAGGACACGTGGCATGAGCAACCCGCTGCCTGCCAACCTCCGATGAGCAAGAGCAAGGCGTGCATTGACGCTTGCCGAGGCAAACATGACGCTGCCCATGAAGATTGTTCACTCGAAGAGCTTTCAGGCAGTTGCCACATTGAGAGACTACGAGCGTTTTGGCACGTTGTTTGCGGGATGCGAATGCTCAATTGCTTTGCGTTCTTTTGTGATCACTCTGCTTAACGTGGCACAAGGTCATTACAGTTGCCGCCATTTTCCTCAACATCCTCGCAGCATGGCTTCTGTTGGGCTTGGGCGAGCATCAGATTCAGATGCGTGCAAGCGACATTTGCATAGTTGACATGGTTGAGTGTAATTTGCCAACGGGTGGCTGTTCGTGGTGAATCCAGTTGTCGCTGCACTGTGCGAAATGCAATGCGCATTTGAATCACGTGCCTCTCTAAGGCAATGGGTGTTGAAGTGGACTTTGACGTTCAGGGCGCCTTAGCGACCCCGCAAGCGAGCATACCTGAAGTGCCCCTCGACTTTTCAGACTGGGAGGCGGCATGTTGCTTTCTTGGGTGGCCAATGCAAGTCACATTTGCACATGCTGCGGGGTAGGCAAGACAAGATTCGGAAGGCGACAAAGCTAGCATGCGATGACCCTCCATGATATGTGGCAAGAAGCCGAAAGGGCTTCGGAATTTACAGCTGCAAATGCTACCTGCGAAGACGAAATACGAAGCCGAACCTAGTGAAGACGTTATTGCTGGGGAAGCCGGAAAGTGCACGCGAAGGCGAATTGCCAAATTTAGCGACGCAATGTCGGGGGTGAAGCCAGAAATGCCCGCAAAGGTGAAATAGCGAAGGCTAGAATTACCTGCGCAGACAGAATCCGAAGCCCAAAGTAGCAAAGACTATACTTGGGTGATAGGGATGGGAATCCAACTGTAGTGTCGCAGAAAGACGTTTATTTCAAAATAGGAGGCGCGCGTGTCAAGTGTGTCAAGTGTGTGTGTGTGTGTGTGTGTGTTTGTTTTTGCCCTGAGCACGCTTGACAGGGGAGCCAAATCAAGACCCTTTTGGAGAATTCTATGAGGGCTAGCATGAGCATGTCAGCCAGGAGCATGTCATCCCTTTGCAAAATATGTTCCTGCGGAAGTGCTGTGCCTTCCACGGCACCCCTTGCAACGCTTGGCCATACAAAGGGCGCGGCTCCCGAAACGTTCCGAAGCCATTCCGAGACCGCATCCGTAAACCGCAGCGACAGAGAGGGCTTGCGAATTTCCTGAAAGGCAACATCTCTGGGCAACACTTTTTTCGCTTTTTTGATTCCTTGGGTTCTCTTCGTCTTACTCTGATTACTCGGCTTTTGAACACACACGCAAGACATTCGTTTCTCGGAGATTCTATGAATGCCACATTAAAC